GAAGGGCACGAGAGATCGTACGTTGCGAATATTTCTGTCAAGTTTTCATGCTCGACCACAATGTTCCAACAGATTCTCGAAACGGTTGCTTAAATCTCGATAATCGAAAATCGCAGCAGTTTGGCGCCACCTTGTCCATCGTAATGGCGTCGCGTCGGCGGCTCGTGAACGTGCACGCACCTAAATCAAATTTCCAATCGCGAACGATAAACATCGGTCACTGGCGGACAAGCGGCGCAGATAACGAACACGCGTGTCGAGAGTGTAAACGTGTCGACCGATTCTAATCGTTTCTAACCAATTGTCCAATCGATTCGATCGTACACTGCGCGATTGACGCGTCGCGCGGAAGAAAAATCTCTCTTCCCGCGTGTGTTCTATGTATGTACATGTTTTCAACGTGCGTGACTCACCAGGATCGGCTCCGATCCCTCGAAAAGCATCCGACGTTTCGAAAAGCGTCGCCCGTTGTTGCGTAACGAACGAACCCAAATGCACGAATTTTCGTCTGCTCGAGCGAGGGTTCTGCATTTCGCTAGACAAGGGGCAGAAGAAAACGGCAAGGCACGAAAGCGAGACACGAAATTTCGTTTTCAAGCGTTTCGGTCGATGCGCAGGCGCGGCGCTGCGATCGCGGCGTTCGAGCCTCTGGGTAGTCGCGAGCGCGAGTTCAGGCCGGTAGGACGTGTTCGTTGCCGCCTCGTGTCCGTGATACACGTCAAACGCGCGCCTCGGCGCGAAAACGAGGGTGTCGCTCGTGCCGAGAGAAGTGTCTTTTTTTTCCACGAGAGTGTTTTGGTGTGACCCGGCTTACGATCGGGTACAGTGTCCACGAACTCGATCAATTATTATTGTGAGGAAGAACTCTGACGTATTCCAGGGGGAAGTTGAACCGACACGACGCATTTCTCACGATCCCAGGACGACGCATTCGATCGAAACGTCACTCCTTCCCATTGGTGGTGAGTACCTTCCATCTTTTCTCCCTTTTTAATGCTCGATCGTCGAAAATACGAAATACGAAACGGATGTCAAGTTCGATTGATCGAATCGTTCCTCGGTTTTTTCGTAAAACTTGAAACGGATAGTCTCTCGCGTCGATAACGTAGAGTTCCCTGCGTTTTACGACGATTAGCCACGACTCGGATTGGACTTTTAATTCCTCGCATAAAAAGTTCGACTGATTTTTTTTACCGACATACCGTCGGTCGACAGTCATAAATGTTTCACCGTGCGATGGCGAGTTAGCGTGCGACGTCGATCGATTTGCAGAGCGAGCCGAATGTTCGCGATTAATGCGTCGTAGGTATTGAACCTATGGAATTGAACGTTGACTCGTTGATTCGTTGATCAACGAAGCTGGCGTGGAAAATAAACGACAGGAAGAACAAGGCCACGTGGCTTGGTAGAGCGTTCCAAAAGCTAAACGATATTATTAACAGCTGATGCGTTAATACCACTTTCGCTCTCGTCGAACGGTATTTTTGAAGGGTGGCCGAGTATATCGACTACTCCAAAATGGAGACACTCGAATTAGTGGCGTCGAATGCGTAGGTTGCAAATAACAATAAACAAGATTTCCGTCGTTGCGCGCGCAGGCTTGCTAGATTTGCAAAATTTACTTCGCCGACAGGGATTATCGTTCCGTTTCATTCGTCAACACGAGACGAAATTGCGTCCGGCAATCCAATACTTTTTCGTCCAAGGGTAGAACACACAGTGTTCGCCGGTAAATAAATAGTTTTTGCCCGGTGACGAGCCTTGCCAGTCGGTAACTCGAACAAGAGCATGCTTTCCTCGAGGTACGTTGGCACGTGTAACGTTTTCCCTAGACGTGTCCGACAACAGGTTTTCGCGCACGTAAGTGTTTACCTTGCTTACGTAACGCGTCGAAGGCTGATCGCGTCGCGTCGCGATCCAAAGGGACGTTCACTCTCGACGCTGAATCAGTCACACACTTCGTCTGTTTCGACTTTTTTAAAATTTCGCGCTCATTGTTTATCGGCCATATTTTGCACGATCTGTAATCTGTCCAGCTAAGAGTTCCCTAAATACTTAACCCTTTCAGTGCTGGCGAAAAAAGTTGTACTTGAGTCAAGTAGTTTGAAAGACAAAAAGAGTATAAGAATTACGAATAATGATAGTTAGAAAATTGATAATGGAAAATGTATATAATGATTTAATAATGGAATATATATATTAATAATGGAAAAAATACATAATAAAGTATATAATTTATTATGTAAAATATATAATAATATATAATAATGGAAAAAATGATAATTAAAAAATTGAAAAATATAATTATAAATATATATTGAATTATAAATAATAAATATATATTAAAACAATATATATTAATAATGGAAAAAATATATAGTAAAGTACATAATTTATTATACATAAAATATATGATAATCGAAAAAATGGTAAAAATGGTAAAAAATTGGAAAATGGTAAAAATGGTAAAAAATTGGAGAAGGAACGTATAATTATAAATATATATTAAATTACAAATAATAAATATATATTAAAATAATATATGTATATATTAATAATGGGAAAAATATATAGTAAAGTACATAATTTATTATACATAAAATATATGATAATC